ACTGAAGAAGGCCTTCAACGTCTTTAATTATGAGGTTACCGTCAGATGAGCGGAGAGGGGCTGCGCCACAAGTAACTGGCCCATAAAATGTTTTAGTGGAAATGAAAAATTCGCACATCTTATGCTGATCTGAAAGTTTTTGTGCTTTACATGCTTTATTTTAAGCCAGTCATTCTTTAGATTACGAAGTTCCTACTGGGCTGCCGCTTTCTTCTTGCGGAAGGTATCAGCTTCGGCCCGAGACTGAGGGTTGCTGTGCCAGTCAGTAAAAGCAGCACATTTATCATCGATGAGTACTTTGATTGCCGGGTCATTTTCATCAAACCAGTCCTGGTGTATTCTTTTGATCTGGCCGAGGGTGTCTCTGCAGGTTTTTGTCATAACAGTATTAAGAGTATCCCATTCGACACTGGGATTCACGTTGTTTGCATTTGGGTTATTTATAAGCCCATGTTCGAGCTGCTCTCTCAAAGCATGTGCTACCGCTGGATCCTCAAGACGCTTAGTATTAAAACCTCTTCTGCAGGCTTGCTGCCTTTGCCGTTTTGGGGCGACGTGAAGTGAGAGCTTGGATCTAACAAGTCCAAGATCAGTGTCACAGTGGTATGAGCCACGCATGGCACGAGTGATGACGACATCTGGGCGATCTCTTTCTCTGACAATGATGTAGTCAATGAGATGCCAGTGTTTGGATCGTGGGTGTTGCCAGGAACTCTTGAACTTGTCATCCTGCCGAAACAAGGTATTGGTGATAGTGAGGCTGTGTGCAGCACACTTGCTGAGGAGCAGTTGGGCATTACATTTGCCTAGTCCATTTCTCCCTATGGTTCCCTGCCAAATGCTAACATCTCTGCCAACTCTGGCATTGAAGTCTCCAAGGAGCACAACCTTGTCTTCTCTGTGGATAGAGGTTAGCACTCTGTCAAGGTCGGCATAAAAGGCCCTCCTTGATGCCATTTTCTGCATCCAGTGTTGGGGCATATTGTAGTGATGGGTTGTCAGACCATGCTTACATCTCAGACACAGTCCAGACCTGACCCGACATTAGGGGGGTCAAATGTAAGGGTACCCCTCGCAGCCACTCAAGGAGCCACAAATCAACCAGCATCCCTTCCATGTCACACGGCCCCAACAAATATGTAAGAGACACACAGTCAGAAAAAGCCACCTGCGACCCTCCCCTAATCTACACAATAAACTACAGTACATCTCAGACAAGGTCCAGACCTGACCCGAGATTAGGGGGGTCAAGTGTAAGGGTAACCCTTGCAGCCGCTCAAGGGGGCCACAAATCAACCAGCACCTCCCATGTCACACGGCCCCACCAACGATGCTAACAGGCAAGCATTCATCAGAAGATTCCTCCAATATATACAACAACTTTAGTCTCAGAAAAAGTCCAGACCTGACCCTACATTAGCGAGGTCAAATGTAAGGAGACCCTTCGCCGCCCTCCCGATCAGCTCAACCTGACGACTCGTCTCCCAATATATAGGACGTCGTAGCCCTCCCTCACGAGAGGGTGTCTTGTAACCAAGAAGGGCCAGCAACAACGTCCCCAGTCCCGCTCGAGAGAAGTCAGACAGAGAGGGCCGGAGGCAAGCCGTCTCCGGTCGGGAGTGAGTTGCCCTCGACACCGGTGCCCAGCTAAGCAGTCTCCTATAGAGACAACCCAGGACCACCTGCTAGGCCTCCCCCAGGTCACGTGAGTTTTTGTCAGAGCTTTCCATGGGATGAGTTACCTACGTGGGAAGTGTATTCATTTCATGTTCGTGTCCGAGAATCAGTGTCTAGTAACGTAATATGATGTCCTAGTAACGTAAATATAATGTCCTAGTAACTTCGATAGAAGGTGTTATTAATGTGTCCATGTCATTGTCGTAATTAATAAACAGTTGGAACGAAGCGGTGTTTGAGAATCGTCCTTAAGAACGTAATAAATGTGAATTGACATATAAGATAAGATAAGTGTATTGACAGAGTAAATAACTAACATGGCCACGCTACCAAAATCTTCCTCTCTCTACATTTCTCTTACTATCAATATTCTACCTATATGTAATCTTCATCTTGTGATTTTGCCTCATTACAATATGTACTGATGAAAAAGGCATGACGTGAGTGATTCAGTGGGACTCGAATCGTCATGAGGCGCTTGTTGATCTTAATAGGCATTTCAGTTAGCCTGTGTAGGATACGTTGGCGGGTGGCAAAGCCAACTCCATAAATGCGGTTTCTTTCCGCAGCAGGCTTACCCTTCCAGAAGAAGGTGTAGCCAGATCCCCGTTCTGTGAGCTGGCCCTCATCTGGGAGCCGGGACTCACTGATTGCTGTTATGTCGATGTTATACCTAGCCAATTCTTTTACCACAAGGGCAATTCTTCGTTGAGGACACTTATTTGTACCAGTATACAGAAGGGTCCTGACATTCCATGCAGTGACCATAAGAGGTTTTAAGGTTTGTTTTTGTTTGGGTCTGTGATTTTGACTGTGTTTTCGACTGAATAAGGATGACCTTACTGGGTGCGGTTGCCCAGTCAGGTTGGATTTTTAGGCAGGCAATATTTAGGGCACCTTTTCTAGCCCCCTCTCCGTGTGGGGTGAGCAGAGTGGCTCCTCGAAAGGGTTGCTCAGTCGCATAGACAAGACCGGATTGCACTGCTGCCTAGATCCCAGTGCATAAACGACCATCTTGTCTGTGCCGCCCATGTGCAGAGTTGTGACTAGAGACTCCCGGCATTCCTCTATGCCTATCTCCGTCGCCACTCGTCCGTCGTCAAGCTCTTTCAATAAACCGTTAATTATTATTATTATTATAGGATTTTGGGGAGTATAAGGGGTTATGATGATGATGATGAGAGGTGTGATGAACTGGATGATGGCTGCGAGTGAGATAATTTATGTGGTGAGGCAGGAGCGCAGGCTGCAACCACACATCAAGGCTCCCCCCTTTCCTGATCCAGTGGTGCAAGTGTTGCAACGACTGGTGAGAGGTAGAGTTGCAATGGATTGCCGATAGCCCACTTTGTTGGGTGTCGCCTTAGTAGCATGTCCATCAGGCATTGCCTTCGTCCACCGGTGTAGTCGTTAGCTTTCCACGGTGGTCACTTCTTCCGCCTAGACCACCGTTGGCGGCTTGTTGGAGCTCTGTGAGCATGTCTGCCTGATGCCGGGCTCCACCCCAGTTTTTTCGTTCGGGGCTTACTCCCGTATCCTTATACCTACCAAGGTTAATCCGCATGGCAGCGAGGCAATGACTGGTAGGCGCCAGAAAGTGTCCACATGCCAGTGAGCCTATGCACCGTCCTTCTGGGGCCCACTGCTACTCCGAGATTCCGTGCTGGTCTAGCCTGGGGCCAGGAGGCACCCGGTTACCGTGTGTTGCCACGAGGAGGCACAGCAGGAGTCTTGATGGTGAAGAGGCTGTGTTTTCCTGTTCGCCATGAGGGCTAGCCAGCGGCAGCAGTTGAAAGCGAGAGGGAGCAAGCAGTGCTTGCACTTTAACACTAACATTGTGCTGTCACACTAGATGCATTTCACTACCCTATGTGCGACACAAGCTCTGTACTGGCAGCGGAAAACTTATGCAAGTTGCTTCTCTGTTCGCCACGAGGGCTAGCCAACGGCGGCAGCTGAAAACACACACACACACACACTAAAGCGTTCGACCTAGTCGACCACAATATAATCATAAACAAAGCTATTGACCTCGGGCTTCGGAGAAGTCTCATACCATGGCTTACAGACTTCCTCAGTGACCGACGCCAAGCTGTACGCTTCCGAGGGGCTGTCTCCACCTTTCAGTCACTCACCTGTGGCGTCCCCCAAGGCACCAAGATGGGACCACTCTGCTTCCTTATGCTCATCAATGATGCCCTAAGAGAAACTCCTGCTCGCTGGAAATATGTCGACGACTCCACCATTGGGATCAGCGTCAACAATTCTGCTCCCAACTATACCGCCCTTCAGGATTTATTGAACAGTCTCCAAAACTGGGCCACCAACAACCATGTCACCATCAACCATACCAAGACAATGGTTATGCACATCAACCTCTCCTCCGACATTGTCCCACCTCCTTCCATTACCCTAGGTCCGAACACACTCCAGGTTGTAGATTCCACGAAGCTCCTCGGCGTCACCATAGACAACAAACTAAATTGGAAACCACACGTCAGTGAAGTTGTCAAATCCTCCAGTTTCCGTCTCCACCTCCTCCGCCGACTCAAGTCCCTCGGAGTTCCTGCACACGAGCTCCTCAGTGTATACACAACATTCATACTTCCCAAGCTCACCTATGCCTCCCCACCTGGTCTTCCTCCCTAAATGCCACACAACGTAAACACCTAGAAAAAGTGCAAAAGAGGGCATGCAAGATTATTCTCTCCCCTTCCTACTCCACATATCAAGAAGCGCTCAACACACTGACCCTTTCGACTCTCACTGACCATCACCACGGCCTCATCTGCAAATTTGGTAAGAAGCTTCTACACCATCCCCGACACCGGCCCCTACTACCACCTGAGATCCCCTGTCCGAGAATTGCTGTTCGACACCACAACCGCATCCAGCCCATACGTGCACGAACTGATCGCTATAAGAACAGCCCAGTCCCAACCATTGTAAAAATTATCAATAACATGTAATAAATCAGTGTATTCACTCCCAGTAAACACTGCTCCCTACACTGTCACTATGTTGAAATGAACTGTATTTTGAGCTGATCCCCATCTAAGTTACTATATGTCTTATTTGTGTCACTTATGTTACTTGTATATTATTTGTAATTCGTAACCCATTCCCCAAATATGTAACTGTATATTTTCAGCCTTCTGGCTGTAAGCTCTTCAATAAACCGTTAATTATTATTATTATTATTACACACACACACACACACACACACACACACACACACACACACACACACACACACACACACACACACACACACACTATATATATATATATAATGAGTGAGGGAGCCACAGTTATCAGTTTATTCGCAGTAATCATCAGTACTTGGGGCAGTGTTGCCTCAACATGGCGCTCTACCACACCTTCCTCTGTAACCTGCTGCTGGGGTCATGTTGTGTAGGTGCTGTCCACACAACAGGAGTTATAAATAGAGAAGCAGCGGGAGATCTGGACACAGTAGTGAGCAAGATTGCTCACAACTACCCTCGTAAGCTTCCCTGTCCGGAAGATGCGGAAATCTTACCCTGTGTCTGTACTTTCGATGAAAACATGCATATGGACCTTAACTGTAGCTCCGTGGAGAGTGAAGACCAGTTGGCCACGATCTTGGGGTCATCCTTTCCCTTCAGAAACTTCCACAAGTTGATTATAGAAGGCAATGATAACCTGGTGGTGTTGAGGGCCGGGGTGTTGGGCAGTACCACCTACGAGGTCTTCCATATAATTGACGGTGTCCTAGAAGAGGTTGAGTCAGGCGCTCTTTCCGGCAGCTACTCCACCGCCACTGAGATGATGTTTTACAACAACAGCATTAATTCTTTTCCCTGGCAGGAAATGCTACTCTTCGAAAACCTTCACACATTGCATTTACAGGAAAACAACATCACACGCTGTCCTAAAGTTAAGTCGAAAAGCTTAAAGAAACTCGACCTGGCCCGCAACCCTTTCATATATCTACCTGTCACAGCCTTCAGCGACACGCCCACACTGCAGGAGGTATACCTCGATGGCATTGGACTACAAGAGTTAAGTGCAGGTACAGTACGACCCGCTCCTTCATTATGTGTTTAATGCTATCGTTTTAATATATCCTTCCTGGTGTTGTGTCGATGTATTCTATATCCTCAATTTAATAATTTTTATTACATTTGCTTATTATTTTTTCTATTTCAACTGACTTCTTGATGACACCCGTCTATTATAAACAACTGAACCAATGAAAAATGTGGTGATACCGTCTTCTTACCGTAACACAGATTTGAGTCGCACAAAGTTCACCCTGTGCATTACTACAGTGACATTATTTATGGTGGTCCTTGTGTCAACCAGTATGATGTGATGTGTACGAAGGTGGTATGTACTAAGGCTTAACCTGGTACTGTTATGGTCACACATCTATAAGTAGTACCAGTGTGTAAATAATAGTATGTGTTTCTACGAGCACAACAATTACTTGTATAAATCTTCCACCCAGTGTACATGTATGTATTTACGTTAAGTGATACACAAGACTTCCGTCGACATTTCAACTTGTCTGTGGAACCATCATAACTAGGGATATGTCTATTGTCCTGCTAGTGTACAAAAAATAGTAAAAAGTAGATTACGTGGTGAAATTACTGTAAAATGGATTTTGTTTTTTCAGGCTGTAAAAAACAAACAATTACAATATTTTCTTCGTGATGTTTCACAATCGTCACATTGATAATAATTAATGACTTTGATTGTTTTTATTGTAGGTCTGTTTATAGTTATTGTTTACAAGCCTACAACCACCTAATGGAGTCATAGATAGTGGTGTCAAAGGTAATTGGGAAGGAAATACATTTATTGCAAGCATCGAGAGGTTACAGATAAGTAAACTACAAGTACAGTACAAAAAGAATATACCGTATGTCTTGATATATTCTGGGTACTGAAGCATTATTACTGTGATGTGATAAGATTACCTCAGGCTGCTTAGGTTAAACAAAATTCCCAACGTCTCTGAAGAAGTAAAACAAAAAGGAGGAAAAATATTTACAGTTATCTTTCACCAAAGTGACAGTGAGACCCACCTGCAACTGTGTAGGCTCTCACGCTTGTTCGGGTAGTACCATGTTGCTACTAAACTTTTTGCAACATCACACATACTGCCCCTTATCACATTCTGCCTCTCACCACATACTGCTTTTACCTCATACTGTTCCTCACAACATACTGCTCTAACCCTGATACTGTTCCTCACCACATACTACCTCTCAACACATACAATGCTCTTACCTCATACTGTTTCTCACCACATACTACTCTTCCCTCATATTGTTCCTCACCACATACTGCCCCTCAACACATACTGCTCTTACCTCATACTGCCCCTCACCACATACAGCCCCTCACTAACATACTACTCTTGCCTCACACTGTTCCTCACCACATACTGCCCCTCACCACATACTGCTGTTACCTCATACTATTCCCCATCACATACTACCCCTTACCACATAATGCTCTTACCTCATACTATACCTCACCACATACTGTTCTTCCCTCATAATGTGCCTCACCACATACTGCTCTTACCTCATACTGTTACTCACCACTTGCTGGTCCTCACCACATACTGCTCTTACCTAATATTGTTCCTCACCACAGACTGTCCCTCACCACATACTGCTCTTACCTACTACTACTACTACTACTTTTTTTTTTTTGTAACGTGGCCTCCAGCCTCCCCCAATAGCCACACCTTCGCCACCATTTATTTACCTTAATATTAAATATCCTAATAATAAGCTATCCTATCTGTGTTAAATTAGTTGAGCCGCAGATCTATGCGGCATTCAGACTGTAGCCTCATAGTCAATATCTGCAGCAGTTGTCGGAGTAGGGGCAGAAGCTCTCGTTCCCTGGGGCAGAGCAAAGCCGACCGAAGGAGAGAGAAGGACAGTCGACATCTCATCCAGGCTGTAACATAACTTCTGGCTGCTTTCTGTTCGGAGATCAACTCCTGAGTTGGCGTAGAAACATCTTGCACTTGGGCCCATCCCACCAGAGGTTGTGAACACTAGAGGAGTGAAGCTGCCTTGATCAACGTTTTGAATTCTCTCCCCATACGCCCTTCTCTTGTCGTTCTCGTTCCTCCTATGTGCAGCATCAAGAGCTAGGTTACGGTGACAAGTGACCATGGGATCAAAAATCCTGATGTCGAAGAAAGCTCGCTGTCCCCGCGTCCAGAATCCTCGAGCACTGACGTCCACACGGGCTTCGTTAGATGTGTTTGAAGTCCTGTGTTGGAAGATCTCACCATCCAGTGGAAGGAGGGTCGGTTCTACCATGACGTCCCGGCAGATTTCCTTCAACATATTTGCTGTGAGATCCCTTACCTCGTCATGCCTCATGCAAATGAAGCCCCCCTTCTTGCAGACCATGGCGTGATCGCCGTCATAGGAAGAGCCACACACGCATTGGGAGGGCAAACCATCCACTGGCCAACCATACCTTAGAGCAATGGCATCTGTAAATTCTTGTTTGTTAAGGCTGAAACCATTTGCCCTTATCGGTAACGTAGTTAACCAGTTCGAGGCGCCCACCTCCTGCGCTATAGCTACTTTTTTTGTCAAATTTTCTGGAACCTGCAGCAATAGTTGCTGCAACATGTCATTTTGGCTGTCACTCAGAATCGAGAATGATGATCATCAAGCTATGATACATTGATGTGAGTTATTAAGTTTGTCACCTAGGTTGGTGAGTTTTGAGGTGACTAAAGAGGCCGATACGGGACCGGCAGCGGCCGTCCACATTCGTTGCACATGTGAAGAGCTGCATCTACTGTGGGAGGGACGGTGGCAGCGTCTTTCCGACGTTGGCGCTTGTCTGCCTCGGCTTGCAGTCGGGCTAACTCGAAAATATTGACACCTTCCCGTGTGGTACTCCTACAAGCGTTACGATGTGGAGTAATCGAGTCCCAGGTGAGGGGGCGATTTGGCACTTTTTCAGGTTTGTCTGAAGACTATCCTTATACCTTTTAAATTGCCCGTCGGCGTTACGTTTAATATTCGTTAGGTGACGGTAAAGCAGCTGCTTTGGCAGTCTACTGTCGTCCATGCGGGTAACATGGCCAGTCCAACGTAGTTATTCATGGATAATGGTAGCCTCGATACTCCTGCAGTTGGTGTCAACAAGAATACTGACATTGTTCTCTTGTCTTCCCAGCAAACTCGGAGGGTCGAACATAGACTATGTTGGTGAAAGTTTTCAAGTGTCTTGAGGTGCTCTTGTATGTGAGTCATATCTCACTGCCATGTAGCAAGGTGGAGAGGACCACTGCTCGATATACGTGCAGTTTTGTCGAAAATTTCAGCTCCCTACAGCTGAAGACACGGTTTCGGAGCTTGCCAAAGGCTTGAGATGCACATCTGATCCGATGCTGAATCTTTTCATCAATGTCTGCGGTGGTGGACAAGTAGAAGCCGAGATACCGAAAGTGGGTAACATTAGAGAGGGTAGTACCATTGAGCTGGATGGATGGTGAAGGTGTGTCTGAACCAGAGGCAGGTTAAAAGAGAATCTGAGTCTTACGTACATTCACCTCATGGCCGAAGTGTGCATACACATCTGCGTAGGTGTTCAGGATCTCCTGTAGGTCGTGTTCAGTGTGAGCAACAAGGGTGAGGTCTTCTGCATACTGAAGTTTAATAATGGAGGCTGCCGACACCTTAGTTCTCCCCTGTAGTCTTATGTTGAAAAGTCCCCCCTTCACCCGGTACTCGATGTCCACCCCTCCGGCTACATTGGCACTGACACGAGTAAGGAAGGCAGCCAAGAAAATGGAAAAGAGAGTTACCTCATATTATTCCTCACCACATACTACCCCTCACCACATACTGCCCCTAACCACATACTGCTCTTTCATTATACTATTCCTCACCACATACTGCCCCTCACCACATGCTACTCTTACGTTATACTATTCCTCATAACATTCTGCTCTTAACTCATACTATTCCTCACTACATACTGTTCCTCACCCAATACTGGTCTTCCCTCATACTTTTCCTCAGCATATACTGCTCTTACCTCAAACTGATCCTCGCCACATACTGCTCTCACTTCATACTATTTCTCACCACATAATGTTCCTCACCACATACTGCTCTTCCCTTATATTCTTCTTCATCGCACACTGCTCTTGCCTCATACTGTTCCTCACCACATACTGTTCTTTCCTCATTCTGTTCCTCACCACATGCTGCTCTTACCTCATACTGCACCTTAACACATACTGATCTTTCCTCATACCGTTCCTCACCACATATTGCTCCTACCTCATACTGTTCCTCACCACATACTGTTCTTCGTTCAAACATTTATTCACCACATAATGTTCCGCACCATATACTGCTCTTCCCTCATACTGTTCCTCACCACATACTGCTACTCACCACATACTGCTCTTATCCTATACTGTTCCTCACCACATACTGCTACTCACCACATACTGTTCTTATCCTATACTGTTCCTCACCACACACTGCTACACTGCTCTTACCTCATACTGTTCCTCACCACATACTGTTCCACACCACACACTGCTACACTGCTTTTACCTCATACTGTTCCTCACCACATACTGTTACTCACCACATACTGCTCTTCTTTCATACTGTTCCTCACCGCATACTGCTCTTACCTCATACTGTTCCTCACCACATACTGTTACTCACCGCATACTGCTCTTCTGTCATACTGTTCCTCACCACACACTGCTCTTACCTCAAACTGTTACTCACTACATACAGCTCTTTTATCAAACTGTTCCTTACTACATAGTGCTCTTAACCACATACTGTTCATCACTACATACTGCTCTTCCCTCACACTGTTACTCATCACATACTGCTCTTCCATCATACTATTCCTCATCACATAGTGCTCATTAGTCATACTGTTCCTCACCACATAGTGATCTTAACCACATACTGTTCATCACCACACACTGCTCTTACCCCATCCATACTGCTCCTATCTCACACTGTTCCTCACCACATATTGCTCTTCTTTTATTACTGTTCTTCACCACATACTTCTTTTCCCTCATACTGTTCCTCACCACATATTGTTCCTCATCACATACTGCTCTTCCCTTATACTATTCCTCACCACATACTGTTCCTCACCACAAGCTGCTCTACTTTCATAATGCTCTTCACCACATACTGCTCTTCCCTCATTCTGTTCTTCATCACATACTGATCCTCACCACATACTGCTCTTCGCTAATACTGTTCCCCACCAAATACTGCTCTTACCTCATACTGCTCATCACCACATACTGTTCCTCACCACATACTGCTCCAACTTCATTCTGTTCTCCACCTCATACTGTTCATCACACCATACTGCTCTTACCACATACTGCTCTTACCTCATTCTGTTCCACACCACATACTGCTCTTACCTCATACTGTTCCCCACCACATACTGTTCCTCACCACATATTGTTCCTCACCACATACTGCTCTTCTCTTATGCTGTTCCTCACCATGTACTGCTCTTACCTCATACTGTTCCTCATCATATACTGTTCCTCACCACATACTGTTCCTCACCCCATACTGCCGCTCACCACATACTGCTCTTACCTTATACTGCCCCTCACCACATACTGCTCCTCACCACATACTGCTCTTACCTTATACTGACCCTCACCACATACTGCTCCTCACCACATACTGCTCTTACCTTATACTGCCCCTCACCACATACTGACCCTCACCACATACTGCTCTTACCTTATACTGACCCTCACCACATATTGCTCCTCACCACATACTGCTCTTACCTTAACCAATAATGACCCAACATCACTCCATCACTCACCATCATGCACCATCATCCACCATTACACTCCATTACCCAGCATCATCCACTCTCACTCTCCATAACGCACCATCACACATCACCACTGACTATCAATCACCATCACATCATCATCACTCACCATCACTCTCTTTCACTCACCATCACCCTCCATCATCCACCATCACCTAACATGACCACCTCCCATGGGCTCCTCTCAGTCCCAAACCTCCATAAGATTTCATGGCGTGAAGGTGTGGAACATCTTACCCCCACCCATCCGAGTAAAGACTACGCTCCCTTCCTTTAAATCGTCTCTTAAACATATCTATTGTCTCAGTATTAATATTTTTTTTTGTAATACCTACTTTATATGCCAGCTTTTATTGTACCACCAAAACCGTTTTATCAGAAATTATCATGCAGTTAGATAGAAATTACCAATGCAATAAATATATTTGCCAACTAGACATAATCCTGACAGCTCTGTCCTCTTGTTCCACCTTAATACAACCCATGTTGTACTGCTTCCTCCCCTTATCATATTTATATTTATCAACCCCACTGTAAATTATGTATACACTTATAATATGAATGTAAAAAAAAATAATATAAAATACATAAAATAAATAAATATTGAAGTGATAACATTATGAGATGTTCTCATTACCACCATGCTATTGTACTATTCCAGATAATACTAAATGTTACATAATATTTCCTTTATATAAATGTAGTACACCCACTAAAAAAATATTCGGCACCCGTATCATATTGTACAGTATCAAACCGTAAGGGTGCCGAATAATTTTTTAGTGGGTACACACACACACACACACACACACACACACACATACACACACACACACACACACACACACACATGTATACATGCACGACACATACATGTACACCCACTAGAAAATTATTCGGCACCCTTACGGCTTCATACAATATGATACGGGTGCCGAATATTTTTTTAGTGGGTTTACAGTATGTATCAGGTGCCTACAAGAGAGCTCAGGCTCTCAACTGGCTCAGCCATGTTAATATTATGATTTTTAATCGACTCTGTATCTGTGTTCTTCTGGCTAAATAAACTGTTTCTATATCAATATTTCAATATCAATATGACTCACCATCATCCACCATCACTCACCATCATTCACCATAACCTAATATGATTCACCATCATCCACCATTACTTACCATCGCCATCCATCACCCTCAATCACTCACCATCACCCACCATTACTCACCGTCATCCACCATTACTCACCATCACTCACCATCATCCACCACCAGTCTCCAATGCCCTTCATCACTCACCATCACTCACTAACACTCACCATCACTTGCCATCACTCACCCTCACTCACCATCGCCCACCATCACTCATCTTCACTCACCATCACTCTCAACCACCTGTTCTGTGCCACAATACTTCATCAGTTATGTCATTAATCCCTTACAGGGACCTTCTTCACGCTCTCCGAACTTCTCATGGTTAATATGTCGACTAACCAACTGACTGAAGTGCATGAGGGCGCCGTACAGTTCAACAACAGTGGGCGTCACCAAGTGTATCTTGACTACAACAACATTAGCCTCGTGGCAGTGAACGCCTTCTCAGGTAGGTGTCCGTTATGCATTATGACTAGGATAATCCCGGGCATTAGGAACCTAGAGTATAGAGACAGATTAAAGCATCTGAATTTGCAGTCCTTAGAGGGACGAAGAGTGAGTGGAGATATGATCGAGGAGTATAAATGGAAGTCAAGGCTAAACAAAGGCGCTACAACAAAGGTACTTAAACTATGTAACCAGAAGCGAACTCGTAACAATGGTTATAAATAAGACAAATTTAGATTTAATTATTAGATAGGTAAACACTAGTTTGGAAATATAGTAGTGGAAGAGTGAAACAAGTTACCAAACATCATCATTAACTCAAATACGATGGGAAGCTTCAAATATAGTTGGACGGATATACTGTACAGTATGAGCGATAAAGGTTTGGTGTAATCGGGACTGCCTAGTATGAGTTAATAGACCCGCTGCAGTTTCCTCCATTCTTATGTTCCTATATTCTTATTGTTAACATACAACAATTTGATATAAGGACCATTAACTGTGCCTAATGACTACATTATGACCGCTCCAAATCTGGCTTATGTATTTTTTTCAAGAATACTACGATGACAGGTGTACAGGTGTGTGTGTGTGTGTGTGTGTGTGTGTGTGTGTGTGTGTGTGTGTGTGTGTGTGTGCAATAAATAATAATAATAATAATTAACAGTTTATTAAGATAACATTGCAGCACGAAGGCTGAAAATATACAATGAACAGAGATGATATGGTGAAATCAGGGAGTGGGTCACTTGATTGACAAAGGCTTTCAATGTGTGTGTGTGTGTGTGTGTGTGCACAGGGTGGTGTATTACATCTAGTGTGGCATCATTATGTTAGTGTTAAGGTGCAAACACTGCTTGCTTGTTCTCTCTATCAGCTACCGCTGTTCGCTCGCCCTCTTCACCACCAAGACTCCTATTGTGTCTCCTCGTGGCAACAGACGGTAACTGGGTGCCTCGTGAGCTTAGGCTAGACCAGCAGGGATCTCGGAGCAGCAGTGGGCCCCAGAAGGACGGCACATAGGCCCACTAGCATGTGGACACATCTTGGTGCCTACCAACCACTGCCCCATTGCCATGCGGATTAACCTTGGTATGTATAAGGCTACGGGATTAAACCCTGAATGAAAAATATGTGGTGGAGCCCTGTATTAGGCAGACATGCTTACAGAACTCCAGTAAGACCCCAACGGCGGTATAGACGGAAGAGGTGACCAACAAAGGAACCCAGCAACTACACCGGCGGATGAAGGCAATGTATGATGGTCAGGCTACTAAGGCGAAACCAAACAAACTAGGCTATCGGCAGTCCATTGCAACTCTCCCTCTCCCCAGTCGTTGCAACACTTGCACCACTGGATCAGAAAAAGGGGGAGCCAAGATGTGTGGTTGCAGCCTGTGCTTCTGTCTCACCACATAAATCAACTCACGCGCAGCCATCATCCAGCTCATCATACTTCTCATCATCATCATCAAAACCCCTATACCCCCAAATATCCTATGGCGACGGACGAGCGGCGATGCGGACAGGCAGCGATGACTGCCGGGAGTCTCTAGTCACAACTTTGCACATGGGCGGCATAGATTAGATGGTCGTTTATGCAATCCGGTCCTGTCTCTGCGACTGAGCAGCCCTTTCGAGGAGCCACTCTGCTCACCCCACATAGGGAGGGGGCTAGAAAAGGTGCCCTAAACATAGCCTACCTAACGAACCAACGTGACTGGGCAGCTGCACCCAGTAAGGTCATTCTTATGAGGACGAAAACACAATCATAATCACAGATCCAAAAGAAAACAAACTATACAACCACTTATGGTTGCTGCATGGAATGTTAGGACCCTTCTGGATACTGGCACAAATGAGCGTCCAAAGAAGAACCGCCTTGTTGCAAAAAAGCTGGCTAGGTATAACATTGACATAGCAGTTATTAGTGAGTCTCGGCTCCCAGACGAGGATCGACTCAAAGAATGAGCGTCTGCCGATACCTTTTTTCTGTAAGAGTAAGCTTGCTAAAGGAGAGAAACTACATTTATGGAGTTCGATTTGCCATGCGCCAATGCATCCTACATAGGCTAATTGAAATGCCTGTTGGGATCAACGAGTGCCTCATAACCCTCCAAGTACCACTGAATTACTCACGTCATGCTTTCTTCATCAGTGCAAATGCCCCAATACTGGATGCAGAGGATGACATCAATGAGGCCTTTTACGCCGACCTTGATAGATAAAGTTGTGCTCCTAGGTGATTTTAATGCCAGAGTTAGCAGTAATGCTGACATTTGGATGGAATCATAAGGAGAAATGGACTGGGCAAGTGTAATCCCAACAGCCTACTCCTCCTCAGCAAGTGTGCTGCACACAACCTCACTATCACCAATACCTTGTGTAGGCAGGCCGACAAGTACAAGGGTTTATGGCAACACCCACGATCCAAACACTGGCATCTCATTGGCTACATCAATGTTAGAGAAAGAAATAGCCGAGATGTCCTCATCACCCGAGCCATGCATGGCTCAAACCACTGTAACACTGGTCATCGGCTCGTCAGAGCCAAGCATTTACTTCAAGTCGCCCCAAAACGGTGGAGACAGCACGCCTCCAGAAGAGGTTTTAGCATTAAGCGTTTGGAGGATTCAGCGGTAGCACATACATTCATAGAGCAGGTCGAACATGGGCTGATAAACAACCAGACAACAAACAACCCGACTCCCAATACCGAATGGGATTATTCTCGACACTGTCACGACAAAAACCTGGAGAGAAACCCTTTGCCAGATCGATGGAATACACCAGGACTGGTTGGTGAAAATGACCCAGAAATCTATGTACTGACTGGCAGAACAACACTCAGTCTCGGACCAAAGCTGATACGTTCCTCAAGAAGAAAGCGGCAGCCCAATGTAAACTTTGCAATCTAGAAAACGACTGGTTTAAAATTAAACATGTGAAACGCAAAACGTGTAGATCAACACAAGATGCGCGAATTTTTCAACTCCAATAAAACATTTTATGGGCCAGTCACTCATGGCACAGTCCCCCCTGTGCTCATCCGATGGCGAATCCCTAATTAAAGATAAAGAAGGAATCCTTCAGCGCTGAAAAAAGAGAACTACCATTCATTGCTCAACTGAAACACCAATGTGGATGTCCTGACTACCCAGTAGGTCCCTCAGCATCTAGAGCTGACTCACCTCAGCTATCCTCCATCCCTAGATGTGGTAGCTACTGCCATCATGCAGATGAAGAAAAAAAAGTCTCAGGGTCTGATGGAATCCCTGTCTAGGTGTATAAAGCAGGTGGACCTCTGGTTACCAGCCGTCTCCACTCTCTCCTGGGGAATATTTGGGGAAAGGAGGACATCCCCTAATCTCTTAAAGATGCCTCCATCGTCAATATTTATAAGAGCAAGGGAGACCGGACAGATTGTGGCAACTACTGTGGGATCTCACTGCTGTCTGCAGCTGGCAAGATTATCGCCCGAGTCCTCCGAAACAGACTTCTTACTGAGGTGGAAAACTTCTTCCTACAATCTCAATGTGGCTTTAGACCATCACGTGGCACCACTGACATGATCTTTGCTGCCCGCCAGATACAGGAAAAGTGAAGAGGACAACGTCGTGACTTGTATATGGCCTTCATAGACGTATCCAAGGCCTTCGACTCGGTCAACAGGGAGGCCCTCTAACAGACCTTCAGCCGTTTTGGCTGCCCACAAAAAGTCAACGCTATTGTGAGGCTACTCCACAATGGCATGAGCGGCAGTGTCCTATACAATGGCACCCAGTCTGAGTTCTTCCCCATCCAAACGGGGGTAAAACAAGGATGTGTACTGGCAGCAACTCTCTTTTCCATTTTCATGACTGCCTTTTTTACTTGTGCCAGTGCCAATATAGCCAACGGGGTGGACATCCAGTACCAGATGAACGATCTTTTCAACATAAGACGACTCCAGGCAGGAACAAAGGTGTCGGCAGCTTCCATTACTGAACTTCAGTATGCAGACGACTTTACGTTTGTCCCTCAAAATGAACATGACCTACAGGAGATCCTGAACACCTATGCAGATGCATATGCACACTTTGGCCTCGAGGTGAATGTACGTATGACTCACATTGCCTTTCAGCCTGCCCCTGGTTCAGCCACACCTCCACCATCCATCCAGCTTAATGGTACTACCCATTGATATGTTACCAATTTTCGGTATCTCGGCTCCCACTTATCCACCACCACAAACATCGATGAAGAGATTCAACATCAGATCAGATGTGCATCTCAGGCCCTTAGCAGACTCCGTACCCATGTGATCAGCTGTAGGGAGCTGAAATTATCTACAAATTTACACTTATATCGAGCAGTGGTCCTCCCCACCCTGCTATATGGCAGCGAGACATGGATCACATACAGGAAGCACTTCCAGGCACTTGAAAACTTTCACCAATGTTGTCTACGTCCCATCCTGCGAGTTCGCCGTGAAAACAAGAGAATAAAATGGCAGTATTCTCGCTGGCCATGTTACCCTCATGGACGACAGTAGACTGCCAAAACAGCTACTTTACAGTCACCTAACGAATAGTAAACGTAACGCCGGCGGGAAACTGAAAAGGTATAAATATAGTCTTAAGACAAACCTGAAAAAGTGCCATATCTATCCCCCTTACCTGGTAGACGATTACTCCACTCCTTAGCGGTTGGAGGAGAACCACACAAGAAGGTTAGTCCAACTGCAAACCGAGGCAAACAAGCAACAACGCCAGTAAGGCGCTGCCGCCGCCCCTCCCGCACTTAACGTATCCTTCCACATGTGCAACATCTGTGAACGACCCTGCCAGTCCCGTGCCTCATTAGTCACCTCAGAACTCACCAAAGAAGGTCTCACTTAATAACTCATATCACTGTTTCATAGCTGGATGATCGTCATACTCGATTCCGAGTGACAGCGAAGCGTTAGTAGTAGTAGTGTGTGTGTGTGTGTGTGTGTGTGTGTGTGTGTGTGTGTGTGTG